ATTTCAAGACGAAACGCAAACGGTTCTGTTTGGTTGGATCGTTCCAAACCTTTTTCCGCCTTTTCCGCCTTTTCTTTTCGCGCTTGCTCCTCCTCTTGCTCTTGCTTCTTTTTGGCAACTGCAGAAAAAACAAAAAATAAGCTGATGATGATGATGTCTACTTGTGCCTCAGCGCTGGCAGACATGCTGGCGCCGGCGCAGGACGTACGGTCGTCGTAGTCGTACTCCTCGTACCAGGGGATCACGAAGGGGACGTCCGTGTTCTCCTCTGCGAGATAAGGAAAAGTTTCTTCGAAAGGAATCACGAGTCCAGAAAGTGGCGTGAGAGCGGGATGTGGGGAATACCTGGGATGTACATGATCACCTCCGGAGTGGTCAGCTGATTTTTGTCTCTGCCTGAAAATTCACAAACATCATCTAAATTATGTCTCAAGATCGCAAAACAACAAGCGAGTGGAATTTTTTTACTTTGATTTCATCGATCTTTGTATTTGTCCTGCCAGAAAGCAAAACAATTGACTTGAACAACTATGTTCCAACTGACCCGGGATCCTTCTGACCAGGTCTGGTTCTTCTGGCTCCTCCCACTTGGGCAACATGGTGGGAAAGTGTCTGGTTGCTATGGAGACAAGAAGATTTTTTTTTTTTTTTTTTTCCGTGTCACCACTCCTCGTAGAACATTCAGCTTCCGTTTCAATGGAAACACTAAATTGAAAACCACATACTTGTCTCTGTGGCGGGTTGAGTCAGCGCTTTGGTGTCTGGCAAAGGTGTTGTGGTGGTTGGGGCGGCGGTCGTGGTGGTGCTGACTTTGGGTTTTTTGGGCGCTTTAGGCTTCTTGGTGGCTTTGGGTTGTTTGGGCCTCTTGGTAGGTTTGGGACCTTTGGGCTTCTTGGTGGGCTTGGGGGTCTTCTGCTTCTTGGCCTTGGCCTCCCTCTCCGCCGCCTTCTTGGCTTTGGCTTGACAGAAGCACAACACACGACCGATCATGTCAAACGGGCTGCGCTACTTACGTACTTTGGAAGTGAGGAGTTCATTTTGTTGTTAGATGCAAGTCACTAGCATGCTTGCTCGAATCAGGGTTTCAAGCTATGGTTAAGGTTTTGAACAAGAGGAAGGCCTTCAGACATGGAGTTTCAAATGCAGTGGAAAGTGTCATTCCATCAAGCAAACCACAACATCCGTCCCGTCTGCGCCTTGCGGAAAAGCAAACATTTTCTCCTGTCCACAGGCCAGCAAACTTATCTGGACTTTTAGTGTTTGGCACTCACCCGCGCTTAACGCCTCCCCTAACGCCTTTTTTTGTTTTTTTAAATTGCTGATCGGTGATCGGCTCCAAAATCCCGAACGTGTAAATTTATTTCCGTAGCTACAGAAGAAGGATTGTGAATGGTTTGAGAATTGTTCTTAACTCCACTTCATTACACAATACTTAGTGAGTTTTTTCCCCCCCTCAAGCTCAACAAATACTCCCTATATGACAAAAAAAACTAAAACTAACATTTGTGGGGGAAGAAATTTTAAACTATCAAGCTTTCTCTAAAAATGAATTCCAGCGAACTGAATTAAAAAAAAAACAAAAGTCAAAATGAAATCAAAACAAGCTTTAATGAAAAATGCCAAATTATTCCCAACCTACTGGCGGACAGTCCAGGTTGCTTCTGTGGCCAAAGCTCATGTTGCGTTGAGCGTTGCGAATGGACGGCCATTCCAACGTGAGCCTTCATGAGCTAGCCTGGCTTTTATTTTGAAATTGCAAATTAACTTCCTGTTTTGGGGACTTGAGGGTTCTCACCTGCCTCCACCTCCTGCGGCGTTTTCTTTTTCTTGGCTTTTGGCTTGTTCACCTCCACTGACGGATCGTCCGCCACCTGGCCTTGGGGGTCTCCCCGGGGGTCGCCCCAGGGGTCAGACAGTCCCCGTCTCTCTGCTAGCCCCCGGGCCTCCCTCACCTGAGCCCCCCTACCCCCGTCGGTCTGGGCGCCGCACAGCAGGATGCCCAACATCGCCAGAAGCAAGCAGGCCGCCACCAAAAGGCTCCTCATGGCTGCAGGAAGTAAAGCAAAGAAAGAAGCTGAGCGAGCGAACCGCGTCCCAGGCAGGGCCCAGATGTGCTCCCCTGACAAGGCAGACGTGAGGCCCTCGCAGGGGGATCCAGACTGCTGCTGATTGTTTGCAAGTCTGAGAGCTGCCTCCTCCTCCTCCTCTTCTTGTTCTTCAGCCCTTTTTTTCTCTGTCCTGGCCAAGGGTGGAGCTTGTGGGGACACATGAGACATTCCAGCCGGGAAGAAGAACAAAAAATGAAAAAAAGCTGCTGAGTCATCTGGAAAAGGGGAAGCCGTTTTCAATGAGTTATGTGATGAGCAGCTTTTCTCGTTAACGGACTGCGAGACTCATCTGGGACTTTTCCTGTTGTTGTTCAACAGCAGACCACAAAAGACAGACAGACAGACGAAGAGGGTGAAGGTTAAAAAAGATGCCCTCAACTCTAAATTAGGGCTTCAAATTCGGGTTTGAAGCCTATTTTAGGCTTTTGAGGCAAGGTGTCTCTACTCTGGGTTAGCCTTTTAAGGTGGCCGGGGGTATGGTTTCAAGTTAGGATTAGGGTTTGAAATGAGGTTTAGCCCAAATATGGATGTGTGTGTTACACTGGGGATGGTTTTTGTTGGATTCTATTGGTGCACGTCTGCTCAATGAAAGGACAAGAAAGCTTTTTTTTTTTTTTTTTTTAAATGGCAAATGTAAAGTGAACATTTGCAATCGTTTTCATTTTTTTTCCTTTTTCTTGGCCGCTCACATCTTGTCTTGCAGCCAGTCAGCGTCTTTGTTGACTTTGGCGTTCATCTGTTTCTCGTTGCTGACTTTTTCTGATTATGCCAGAGGAAAAAAAAAAAAAACATCTGAGCAACATTGCACAACACGCACATACACAAATATTCTAACTATTTCTCATAATAACAACACATTTTTAAGTCTTTAATTACAGCTTAAAAAAAAAACCTTAAGTCGAAATTGTCATGGTTCTGTTTGTTTATGTCTCAGCTCAGAATGGATGGATTTAACTACAGCGCTTCCTTGACTTTCATAAAAATATGACTAACAGGTAGAATATTTGACTGTTTTAAAAATGTTGTCCATTAGAAATTGTTTATCTTTAAAAAAATAATCATTTGTAACGCACACTCGCGTAGACATCATTTCCAGGTTAGCCTGTCAAATGTGGTGCAGCGCCACAATAAGGGCAAACAAGCAAGAGTTCAAAATATTAATATTTCTCTTTATTAAAAATAACTTATTTTAAATCATTGCAGTTCTAAAAATGTTGACTGTTCATCTGCATTCAGATTGTCGTCCCCCATTGTCGCTTGATCAGCGTGTCGATCATGTCCATGTGATCACTTGATTATTGTTCTTCATGTGGGTGTTGAGTTTTTCTATTGATTAGTCGATTATTCAGCTCTATTTCAGCAATAAAAAAGTGGTTGTATCATACGCGACGCTAAGGGGCGGAATTGCCCGCAGATGATTTGACGATTGAAGGCGATTGCAGGCGACGGCCACCAGGTGGAGACATTGAACACGGTGGAGCGGTGGGTGGGGTGGGCATTGTGGTGCTCCTGCACCCGCATGCCCTCCTCCTTCTTCCACTTGGTGCGCCGGTTCTGGAACCAGATCTTCACCTGCGTGTGGGTCAGGCAGAGTGCGCCGGCAAGGGCGTGGCGCTCCACCGGGCTCAAGTAGTGACAGCGATGAAAGCTCAATTCCAGAACCTGAAGCTGGTCCAGCGTGAAGGCCGTTCGCACTCGGCGGACGCCGCACTTTGAGTTGGCTGGCTTTTTAGTCCGCTTTGAAGGCAGTGGTCTACGAATGCCACCTACTGAAGGATATTGCTTCGTGTTGGGACCTGGGAAAGGAAAAGAGTCAAAACTCTCGTCACACATTTAGAAATTGAGGTAGTGACGCTTACGACCCCTGAGCTCGAAACGGAGGGACGTAACTCGCTAAAAGTTACAAAAATACACAATCAAGTAATAAAGTCTCACAAGTAACATGGAATTCTAAAGATACCGAAATGTTTTGTAGATTGACCAAACGTTTTATAAACCTACCTAAATACTCACAAAAGTTACAGAAATATTTTGTTCTCCTGAAATATGTCTTAAAAATGACCTAAATACTCTTAACTCTACTAAAGTACAAGTGGCCTGATTACCAGGTGCACTCAAATGTTTCTTAAATGTCACATAATCACTCTTAGATGTACTCAAATACTTATTAAAAGTAAACTAAAGACGTGAAAATACTCCCGAAGTTATCTAAAAACTCCTCAATCTACTAAATATTTTTGTCAATATATTAAATGACGCAAACGTGTATTATTGTGGTGCACTAATATTATCTTGATGAGACGTGACTTTCTGGCAGCGCAGTGTCACACGAGTCGGCGCGATGACGTCATGAGGTTTCCCTAATGGAGCGACTGACCTGCGGCTGGCTGCTCGGCGGGCCCGTTGAACTTTCGGGGGTGCAGGATGTCCTCCACGGAGAAGGCGGTGTTCCCCTTTTCGTTTTTGCGGCTGCCGAACGTCACTTTACGGGCGGGGGGCTCCATGTCCTGCGGGGCTGAAGTGAGGGCTGGGGACGCTCCCGGCCTCCGCCGCCGTTTAAAACAGGCCAGCCTACGTTTGCCGTGACGTCACAGAAGCCGTCCTCTCCGTGGAGGGCGCTGCGCTCAGTTATTTATTGTGGGACATCTGCTTGAAATGTTGCCTTTTCTTGAAGTGCGTGTCACGTTTTGTGTTTCAGTTTGTCCCGACTGACGTCCGACTATTCTTAGTCGCTTCTTATGCTAATGTCTTAGCTTGTAATGCTAATTGATGGACTCGTCAAAGGGAAAGTGTGTCACCATTGTCCCTTTGCAAATGGTAAACTATTGTCCTTTTCTGCCACAAAACTTGACTGCAATCATCTGATGGGCGCAGGTCAATTCAAGCAGGCATCAAGGATAATGAGAGTGATGTATTGGGCAAAAAAAAAAAAAAAAAAAAACAACCATTGGAGTGACACCTGTACGGCAATGTCTTTGCATCTCATTGAAAAAGGTTTGTGTTGAATTTACTCAACTTTATTTGGTCAAGTAGTTACACAAAATTATATATCATCTGGATCCAGATGCATATTTTAAGTAGATGACTTAAATTAATGTGTCTGGATCCAGATTATTTTCATCTTGTGCAACAACTTGATGAAATAAAATAAATAAATTACTTGTGGCAATTTTTTTCTGATATAGCCAAAAATCAGCAGGAATAGACACAGTCTCAGCCTCAACTCTACAAAGCCCAAAAGAATTTGGGTGGATAGATGAGTTGGTTGGAAAGTTTTTTTGTTGTTGTTGGAGTGTCACAGATGTGCATCCATTCAGAGATGAAGGGGAGGTGAACGTGTCGCTGTTATGTAGCTAAACAATAGCCCTCAACCATTGATGGTCTCCCCCAGGGGGTCTTGCTCATTGCCCTGCTCCTTTGTGCACCTGCAAGACCCTTCAAATGCATGGCGCTCCGGTGGTCTTGCACGGGCACGCGTCGTGAACAATACTCACAGTCATCAAGCATGTTAAAAAAATCAATTGATGGCAATCACATTTGTTTGATGCCTTTCGTGGTTTGCTTTTGTGCTTTTGTGCTTTTCAGACAAGTAGCTTGTTGATGACATTTTGACAGTTGTAGTCACAAAATGTAAACCTGGACATTTAATTTCTGAAGGAGAGATTTGAATGCAAACCTATAGATCATGTCATCGGCCTCAAAAATTTGGATCATTGTCATTTTAAACAAATGTTTTGCAGAATTCAGGGCAATTTGTTCCTGTAAAGAAAAAACAATTTGCGATTTGCTCTTTGTGAGCAAGGTGTTTATGTGTGTGTCAAATGGCATAGTACCTAAAAAATACTTGCAGTAGGGGACAATATCTCTCTCAGTGCCATCTAAAGAGGACATTTTGAACGGTCACTGAGAACGGAGGAGCTCTCCATTAAAAATGTTGATTTCTTTTTGTTTGAAAGCAGATGGAGACGAGCGGAGCAGAATGGACTCTGCTAAAAACTAGGCTACAAGGAGGACAATGCAGGAGTCAATTTAAGGAGGAGCCAAATGTATAGATAATAGTGATGTATATGGGTATTTTGGGCAGCACATGGAATGTTGTTAACAGTCAAAAGACACGAACAATTGACTGGCTCTGATGACGATGATGATATCATTTAGAGGCCACGAGGAACGAAAACGTGAGTTGTCATACTATCGCAATTTTGATAAAATATATTAATTACACGTTTTGTGCATAAAATGATGTCTTTTTCCTTTGTGATCAATTTCATGCTCTTAAATGTCTTGAATGTGAAGATTTTCCAAATGTCTTCCAGATATTTCTTGTCGAATTTAATCTGTATGCTAAAATTGTGAAATTAACAAAGAACAAGAAACATATTTGTAGGTTGCAATGCATTGGTAAATTATGTCTAATAGACCTTGAATGAAAGTTTACGGTGCCCTAAATTGTGACAAATTTCTTTGGCTACTTTTAGTTGTTTTTTTTGTGTGTTGCTTATTTGTTTTTTATCATGTTTACATATTTTGTTGTACATCAATTCTCAATAACGATTTTGACAAAAGATAAAGGGTCAGTTGTCCTCCGTGCCAACAGTGTCGCTGTGGAGCCGGATGGGTCTCCAGTCCCCCGTTGGGCTCTCGCGATATTTCCAGTTGAACAAATTCAAACATGGCGTCACAAGAAGAGGCGGGTAGCACCGTTGTGGCTGAAACAGACTCAGCCGGAACGTACGTGGGCTTGTTTTTACACATTCCAACACTCTTAATGGCGAAAACATGTAACATTTTCTAACGGTGTACTTCTGAAACATCCTCGACGCTGTTTGGCCACAAAAGCTGCCCGCGAACTGGCGAGTAGACGTCTTCGTAGTGCAGAAGGGTTGGCGAGAAAGGGGCAAGCTTTGTTTTCGGCAAACACGTTCACGTTTCTTATTTATTCGTCTTGTGAGGCCAAACATATTTCGGGCAATATTAGTAAAGTTGACGCTAGATTTAGCGAAACTCAACATGTAAATCATTGTGGCATAATGTGGGATAGACATAAAAAAGACCAAAAGTTAATCTCAAGTCGCGTAGTATTACGATAATAAATATTCTTCAAGACTCAAATACTACCGGTATATTTCTTCATAGCACGTGAACATTCATGTATAATAAATATTGTTTATTGTAATACAGATGGATTTATTGCTTGTTAAAAAAAATACATGGACCTTGATAAAAAAATATTGCTAATAATTTGCAATATTGAGGGAGGAAAAATTGTAATTAGATAATTTTTCAAAGTTCCTCTGTCCTACTTTGTGTACAAGCTAATAATTTTTTTTTGTGTTAATTATTGCACAATGTCCCAAGTAATACATTGTCATTAATTGTTCAACTCCGAATGAAAACTGTTACTACGTAGGGAGGCGGTGTTGACTGAGCTTCCTGTCAGCATGGACACAGAGTCTTCCAGCGGCAAGGAGGGCCTGGCAAGTATCTAACGATGATCACCGTGTTGCGATGACGTCACGTGATGAAGTGCTGTGTTGCCACAGGAGGCGGCAGGCGAAGCATCGGAGGCTGCCGACACACTGACCGGCTCCGGGGATGAGGACAATGGGCGGCAGCTGGGCGAGGTGGAGCTGCAGTGCGCCTTGTGTACCAAGTGGTTCACCGCTGACACCTTCGCCATCAATACCGCGTACGTAAATCACAGCGTCGCATTGCATTTGTGGAATATGAATGATGTCTATCTCACAGGCTGGGCGGCCATTTTGTTTTGTACCGACACTTGGTGTCGACTGAAAATTACGATCCGCTGTCTGTTCTGCAGGACTTGTCTGCCCTTCATGACCAACTACGTGTTCCACTGCAATGTCTGCCACCATAGCGGCAACACCTACTTCCTCAGGAAACAAGCCAGTATGTGTCCATGCGCTGCTCCATTCCAATCCGGTTCGGTGCTGTCCTCATCCGTTTTTTTGGTTTTGTCCTTGCAGACCTGAAGGAGATGTGTCTGACGGCGCTGGCGAACCTGACCTGGAGGTCCCGGAGCCAAGACGAGCATCCCAAGACCATGTTCTCCAAAGACAAGGTGAGCAGCGACGCAAACGTTTGTATACAGATTAATTGTCAAAATAATTGACGGGTTAATTGATTAAAATAATTGAGGTCTGGCTCCTTGGGTGCAGGACATCATTCCATTCATCGACAAGTACTGGGAGTGCATGACCACCCGCCAGAGACCCGGCAAGCTGACGTGGCCCAACAACATTGTGAAGACCATGGTAGCGCGTCGCCACCCGGACACACCGCAGCCCACATCGGCTGCTTTGTGATCTCACACTGCTTCCCCCCACTACCTCTCACCCACCTACCCCCAGAGCAAAGAGCGCGACGTTTTCCTGGTGAAGGAACACCCCGACCCCGGCAGCAAAGACTCCGAGGAGGACTACCCCAAGTTTGGCCTGCTGGACCAGGTATTAACCTTGGGCTGAGCAAACCTTTGCGCACAAGGGTCACATTTGATTTTGAAAACTGATAAAAGGGCCAGGTCGTCTGAAGAACAACACCAGGGGTTTTCTTCCTCAAAGAATCCAACATTTAATTAATTAGAAACATTCAAGACTCTGTGCTTTTCTTAAAAGGAAAAAAAAAAGATTATTCATTTCTTAGCGACTCACAAATACTGAAATGGTACGATATGTATACGACGGTGTGGTTTCATGAAAAACATCACCTCGTTGTGCAGGACCTGGGGACCATCGGACCCTCGTACGACTCCCAAAAGCAGTCGGCCGTCACGCCCACCGCCGGAGGCCTCAACGGTCAGTAAAAGTTTCCTTTGAGCTCGCTTAAGGTCGGACGCGAGACGACGCAGTTGACCGTGATTGGCGTTGTGTCTTCCAGGTGGATCCTCTTACTCAGGTGAACACTCGCTTTTGTGGCGGCAGACGGCTGCTATTGCTGCTGCTCTTGTTGTTGTTGTTGTGGGTGGTGGTGTCATGTGACCGGCTGGATCGAAGTTGGTTTCAGTTCGATTCCAAGCCAACTAGGGATGGGCATGAAAAATTGATTTTTGATAAGAAAAAGACGCATGTGGACTAGCTATCTTCGTCCCTCGCCATATCACGCTTCGCTCAACGTGGTTTCACTTGAGCGACCATTTTTAAATCTTACATATCTAATTTTATCTTTTCGATTTTTTTCGTTGTACCACACTGAGCCATGTCGGTTTAAACTCGCGCAGCAAAAAGCGCGAGCCAGGAAGAAAGATTTTGTAAAAGACAGAGAACAAGTAAAGATTCTTAGCTAATTGAATGGAGGGCTGGATGATTATGGCAACAAATGTCGGAACAATAGATTTTCTTTTTTTGTCCACTTGGGGTCGCTGTCCACACATTCTGGACGACAGTCATGCTGACTTTGAGCGCCTTTTGACGAGGAAGTGAGGAGGATGTGCAGTACTTTTCACAGGCTTTTTCCTGGCTAGAGCTGAAGCCACTCTGGCGTTCATTGACGGTTTGAGTTGAGGCTATCAATAGCCGTGCCAAGAATGTGCTTTTGTTTGTTAACGTTTATTTAACGAGCAAACGATCACCAGCGGCTGTTTCCACCCTCTTCCGACTGTATCTGTATCACATGAGTAGTTGTGCTGTGGTGTACTCCACAATAAAAAAATCTGCATGGTGCTAAATCAGGTAGAAGTGAATTGCGACATAGCCAAATATGACTCTATTTCATAGGTGTGTATTAAACTAGTAGTCCTTTGCATTCATTGGGATCCAAGTAGCTCTCACTTTGAAAAAAAAAATGCTCCAGAGGAGTTTGTCACGTGTTGGTATTGTTTGAAGTCCGCAGGTAGCAAAAATGATAAAGACATGACTCACAAAGTGCAATTACGTACATGGTTAAAATATAGTCGCAGTTAAGGTTTTTTTTTTTTTTTGGCGGGGGGGTGGGGGGTTTTAACACCAGTGTTTTTTCT